GTAGCCAAGGATGGCCTTGGACTGATCCTCCTGCCTCCACTTCCCAAGTGCTGGGATAATAATCCATTTTATGGAGTGCTAGGGATCGAACCCAGGGACCTTCGGTTACTAAACAAGCACTTTGGTATACTGGCTGAGCTATATTCCCAGCCCTATTCATTTATTATTATTTCAGACTCATGCATCTCCATTTTGTTGTTGTGTTTCAATCCATTGCTGTTGTTATCTTTCATGACTATCTGATCTGTCACAGTGGGAGGCCTTTTCAATCCATCTCTACTTGTTCTTTCATCCTAGCTATCTGGTCTGAGAAGATGTTCATTCTCCCTTTGCCTTGTACATTTGCTGCCCAAGATGGAACCAGCCATTTTTTTTTTTCATGAGGTCTTGGTTTCCTTCAGTGGGAAATGGCTAGTGACTTCTTTTACTTTTTTAACTTTTTCTTCTTTTTGGGACAGGGTCTCCCTGTAGCCTCAGCGGGCCTGGAATTTGATATATATACTAGGCTAGCCTTGTAATCTTAGAGCGATGTGCCTGTCTCTGCCTCCTGAGTACTGGGATTAAAAGTGTGCACCACCACATCCAGTTAGTGACTTCTTTTAACTTGTTCCATGAAAAGCCAAGTATTATCACGCACTTGAAGAAAGCCTTAAAGTGAAAGGGAAGACCAAAATAAACCAACAAAATAAAGGAAGCTGTAAGAAATGAGGCTATGCAAGACACATAAAACATGAAAAAATTAATTACAAAAAAGAATTAGTGTATCTTGAGATATAAAAATATCTTATAAAACAATAAATTAGAACTATGAAAAGCAAAAGTGCAAGTGGGAAAAGTCACTGAAGGATTAAAAGATAAAATTAAAGAAAAATCTACTGAAATTAGAAAAACAGAAACAAGAAATAAAATTGAGAAATTCCAGAAAAACAGAGGAAAAAAATCAAGGCATAAGGATCAACCATGGATTGGAGTAATACAAATTCTAAAAAAGAAAGAGGAAAAGGTAAGGAAGAAGTGAAGGGCTAAGCTGTGTAAGAAAATTTGTCAGAACAGAGGACAAGTCTTCGTACTGAAAAAGTTGACTGAGTTCCCAAAAGTGCATGAAATTTAAGTCACTGTTTTTAGGAAGAGCCCAAAAGCTTTCGGAATCTAAAGAAAACAAAAGGGGTTCCTGCAAAAGATGGGAAATAAGAATTGCATCTGACTCCTGAAGAGTGATGCTAGAATTGAGAAGACAGTGGTATGCAAATGTTTCTAAAGCTGAGTAAAACTTACTTTCAACCCAGAACTCTGTGTGAAGATAGTCAATATGAAGAGAGAATCGATTGGACAGGAAAGAATTTTAAAACTTGATCCACCATGTTCCTTTTCTTAGGAAGATACTGGAGGTGTATGTATTCCACCAAAATAAGCAACTAAATAGAACAACGAGGGCAACGTGGGCTTCAGAAAGCAGAAGAGCATGCTAAGTCATGTTCTTAGCCAGCAGGAGGGCTCCCAAGCAGCCTGCCCACTGGGGTGGGAAAGTGGAGGTTAGGAGGATGAGGAGGAGGATAGGAACAAATAGATTACCTGAATAATTGGTGCACACAGTTAGGAAATGAGATTGAAAGGGATTTCTAACAGCTTTGGGAAATTTGAGAAAAATCAATGGTTGTACACATGTAAAGCATAACAATGAAGATGACCAAGACAGATATTTAGTCCAAGAAAAAACAGAAAGTTGTTCAAGAAAGGAGATCCCATCAGATTCTGAGTATTTTTTATTGACTCTTGGATAACCATTTTCACATTTTAATGAGTCTGAAATCAGGTGTGTCTTACAAGTGCAAGCCTCTTACAGTCACTATTGGCCAGACTTCAGTCCTGATATAGTTGTAACCTGAGCAGGTGGTCTTGCTCATGCTGTTCTGACGGGACAACAGCAGCCCCTTTAATGCATCAGTGATTATAAAATCGTATAAGAAAGGAGTAGCCCAAGTTGGTTAGAAAACCTGGGGACGCCTGGTAAGATCAAGACAGTGTCAGCATCCAAACTTGCAGAACAAGATCAGTGGCTTGGAAGAAAATCCTGAAGACCAGAGTGGACCACCTAAGAATTCCCACCTGGATAGTTCAATGAATAGTACTCTAAATAAAATGACAATAACAAAAATAAGCAGTGACAGATCTGAATAGACAAGATTTGGGAGAGATGACCTCTGAATTCAGAGAAGGTTAAAGACATTTAAATTTGCTTACATTTTTCTTTTTTTATGTACAAGATCGATTTTTGATAAAAATATATCTAAATAAGAACACTTTCAATAAGTTTCCATTAAAAATTTAGGTGATAAAACTGTTTGACTGGCAGCATATTTTCTTTCATAGTGGTTTGTGTTGCAGATTGATGGCTTATGGTCAGGGAACTCCGAGGTTCTAGCTGGTAGGGGGAATCGTTTTTACATATTTACAATAACATGAGTACCAATTTTATTTTTAATTAAAATATGAGTTATAAAGGGAGAATGGGAAGAAAGGTATCGTAAGAATGCTCTGAAGTGGGGTAAAATGGAGATAGATAAGTGGGAAAAATCTTTACCTGTCTAAAGGAAGTCAAAACAGGCAATATGAAGTGGGTCCACACATTGGGACTTTTTGAGAAAGAGAGAGAGAGAAGAGGCCTGCTGGTTTCTTCAGAGGCCAGAAGAGGATATCAGGTCCCCTGGAGCTAGAGTTACAGGCAGCTGTGAACCACTGAATGTAGGTGATGGGAACTGAACTTCGGTCTTCCAGAAGAACAGCAAATACTCTTAACTATTAAGCCATCTCTCCAGCCCTGGAACATTGGTTTTTAACCACTGGGAAATGGTTGTTCTGAGGTAAGGGGACTGAAATTTAGGAGTAAACTGTTAGGGTTTTTGCTAATATTTTTTTCATATATTTTTTTAAAAAACAGTGCATCATTACCTTCCTAAAAATAATTTTTCAAATAAATTAACTTCAAAAATCCCATTCCATGCTGTTATCATTGTAAATATACATATTCTCTCTGGGCTATATGGTGAAACTTTTGGTTCAAGGAATCTGTTTACAGTGACAGGCTGCAGAAAGGCTCCTCTGCCTGTATCAGTGGTCTGCTTTGTGCCTTTGTGCTTACTAGTTTTGTGACCTTGGGCAAATTGCTCAACCTCACTGCCTTTAGTTTCCTCTCCATTACACTGAGCGAAAGGTTATGCATTTCAATGGCTGTTTCAAGGGTCAAAGAGAGACGGTGTCAAGACCCGCAGCACAGTGCTTGTCCCACTGTCGAGATCACTATAACCTTAACATTTTTCACTGTGCACGCACGTATCTTCACAACTTCCCCCTTAAAAACAGCTGGCCCCTTCAGTGTGCCCCTGTGTTCAGGAACCCCAAGGCCTCCATCAGCCACCCATTGTGTGGTGCTTTAAGGGGACAGTAAGTGTGTGGGGTCATTGTTCCTTCCTGCCCCCTCCAAACCCTTATAAACATCCTCTTTTCTCTTGTGAGGCTCATCCTGGGGCCTGATGGGTCCTGAGATTAGAAGTGCTCAGTCCTTTCTGCCCAGGTGAACTCTGACCCTAAAGGTCATCTGCCCTTCTTTAAAGAGGAGGAGAAGCAGGTCTGAGCTGCAGACTGGCCTGGAGGGACTGGGCCAGTCTGCTCAGTGGAGGCCAGCTCCAGATCCAGGGACTGCAGGGGTCAGCTTCCCTCTGCTTCCCTCCACGCAGCCATGCATCTGCAAGAGTGGGTATGCTGGCTCTGGAAAACAGAAAACAGAAAACAGCTCCATGGGTCCGTCCTTGTCCCCTGCCTTCTCCCATAGTCAGGCAAACAGTTTTGTGAGAAATTAAAAGCAGGGTGTGTGTGTGTGTGTGTGTGTGTGTGTGTGTGTGAGAGAGAGAGAGAGGGGGGGGAGGGAAGGAGGGAGGGAGGGAGGGAGAAGAGAGAGGGGGGAGAATGAATCTCCTTGCTCAGGACTTCTAGGAGAGGTTCAGTAGTCCATATTTATACATGTGACCCAGCGGGGCTGTTGGCTGGGCAAAAAGTATCACCTTTCAGTGCTTCTCTAGAGGTAGGTAGAATAGATGAATAGGGAGGGGCATACTGGGTGGGGACAGCCTGTCCCAGCCCCTTACTCCATGACAGTGTGAATGATGTCATGAAGGAATCAAGAAGGGAAGTAGAGAAACCCTGGTTTTGATTCCCAGCACTACATAAACCAGGTGTGGCAGTGATGCATGTAATCCCAGAACTCAGAAGGTGGAGGAATGAGGATCAGAAAATCAAGGTCATCCTCAACTTGAGAGAAAGAGAGAGAGAGAGAGAGAGAGAGAGAGAGAGAGAGAGAGGGAGAGAAAGTCCTCAGCCCCGGGGACAATGAGGATAAAGGGCACAAACATATATAGCCTTTGACATGGGAAACAGGATCCCTACTCATAGCCTATCATGCATCTTAAATTGTTACCCAGATCTCCAGTGTCCTCAGAGATCAAGGGGTGAAAAATAATACTTTGCAGGGTTTGTAGTGTGAAAATTAGATCTTCTGTTTCTAAGGTTTACATAATCTAACCTTTAGAGAGAGAGCTCCCCAGTGTCCCACTCCTTTAAGGGACATGTGGAAAGTACACCCCCGAGAAAGAAAGACTTAGGTAGTGCTGAAAGCTCTTTTTGGCCACTTGCAGCTTCATGGCTGACCTGGGAAGGTACCAGGGAAGCTGTGTGGGAATGATAGAACCCATGAAGCTGAAAGTGGGTCCTCCAGATGTCTTCATTCCAAGCAGGCAGGAAAGGTGTTAGGCTTCATTAAAAGCCTCTGGGTGAGGGCATCTGGCAAGCTCCTCCTCCCCAGTCCCTCTAACACAGAGAGAGGAAACTATCCTGCTGCTTGCTACCCAGGCCCTTTCCAGGTTCTGGTCTACACCAGACCTTGGCTGCTATCGCTCTAATGATCAGTGTCAGGAAGTACACGAGATGATTCTGTGTTCCTCCCACAGGCCACAGAGTGGGCCTCCAGCGAGGACACACGACGCTCTTGCCAGAGCAAAGGAAAGACTGAGGTACATGCAGGTGGCCCCAGGGCTCTGTTGGAAGCCTGTGGTCAGGAAAGGGTGAGGCTCCTTGTGAGCATGGGGTCCCTTACCCCAGAGGCCTGACTTGGGTGAGTTAGGACTCCATATGTCAGTGGGAGGATGGGCATGGACCTCAGAACTGTGTGGATCCGGGGAAGGGATGTTGTTGGATGTTTGTTGGCCTCTGGATGCACTAGTGTGAGAGAAACATGCTCCATTCCACACCTGTAGAGTTGCAGCCCTCTTATCACTTTACTTCCCGCCTCAGGAAGAGTGTCAGAACTACGTGCGGGTCTTGATCGTTTCTGGCCGGAAGGTGTTCATGTGTGGCACCAATGCCTTTTCACCAGTGTGCTCCAGCAGACAGGTGAGCCAGCAGAAGAGGTGGATGAGAGGGGTGCCAGGGGAAGGTACCTTACTCAAGCACCCAGACTTGGAACGTAGCTGACAAATGTGACAAGGGGGAAAAAAAATTCAAAGGATGTATGTCCCCACAATTTGAGACAAATATAAAAAAATACTCATTCTTTATCTGAAACTCAAATTGAACCTATCTTCTATATTTTATTGGTCATTCTTATTTGAAGAGTCCATCTAGGGTCCATATGGCATTCTGCAAGACCTCATCCTCTACTCACTCAGAGGGGCTGAGGGGAGGGGCTACCCACAGAGACCAAGAGTCCCAGAGGAAAGAGAACTCTAGGGTAAAAAGAACAGGTGGCCTCAGGGCTGCAGGAAAAGCACCCCTTCCTCCCATTGTCCCCAGGTCGGGAACCTCAGCCGGATGATTGAGAAGATCAATGGTGTGGCCCGCTGCCCCTATGACCCACGCCACAACTCTACAGCCGTCATCTCCTCCCAAGGGGAGCTATATGCGGCCACTGTCATCGACTTCTCAGGTCGAGACCCGGCCATCTACCGCAGCCTGGGCAGTGGGCCACCGCTTCGCACTGCCCAGTATAACTCCAAGTGGCTCAATGGTAAGAAGGTCCAGTCCTGGGCAGGGCTGCCCCAGTTCTGAAATCCCACCAGTCCTTGCTTCTTGTGGTTCAACAAGAAGTGACTAGGGCAGGGCAGGTGTCTGCCCCAAAGACCAAGACACACTGGAGATGAGCCCCAGAAGTTCCGATGACCCAGAGCAGATGGAGGACAGGCTATTAGGGGAGAGAGAGTTAGGGATTGAGTGGAATAGATGTTATGGGAAAGAAGAGATTAGAGGGAGGCCTTGATCAAGCACTGAACCTCTCTGTCCCATAATCTCACCTTTAATAGGACAGTAACCCTAGGATTTACCTTATAAATGCTAGTGAGGATCAAGTGGGTGAACCAATAAAGGTCTTGTAATAGTGTATGATATCCAGTGAATGTACAGAAGCACTATTAACTAATGTTATAGCTTCGTTTTGTATTGGAAGTGGAATTGGGCTAATTAGAGTCCTTGGATCACCAAGGAGGGGGTTGAAGATGCCCACTCGAGTCCTTCCCACTCTGCTGTCTTCTTCCTGCTGGCTGGACACATCTTCCTTTTCTGCCACCCCATCAACAGAGCCAAACTTTGTGGCAGCCTTTGACATCGGGCTGTTTGCATACTTCTTCCTACGGGAGAATGCAGTGGAACACGACTGTGGGCGCACTGTGTACTCTCGGGTAGCCCGAGTGTGCAAGAATGATGTGGGGGGCCGTTTCCTGCTAGAGGACACATGGACCACGTTCATGAAGGCCCGGCTCAACTGCTCCCGCCCAGGAGAGGTCCCCTTCTACTACAACGAGCTGCAGAGTGCCTTCCACCTGCCTGAACAGGATCTCATCTATGGCGTTTTCACCACCAACGTGTGAGTCCCCACCCTCTGCCACCCACCTTCCCTGTCATGCCAGGGCTCACCCTGCCTGGCCTTGCAGCCTGGTGGGTTCAGCAGGCCCTTCTCAGAGCCCAGCATCTTCATCTACAGAGCAGAGATTGCGTTGCTCCTGCACTTGGTCATCTGAGGATTTTGTGGCTTACCACCTCTGGAGTGGTAAACCCTTGCTATAAGTTATTGGGAAGGGTAGGCCCAGGTCAGATATGTAGAAAATAGAGGGAACTGCCTGGTGGCTCAGGAAGGGAGAGCATGCTGGTGAGAAGTCTACCCTGGATGAATGGGCAGCAGCCGCATAGGAGCGATGTTCAACAGTCCTTTCCAACCTCAGGATCCGACTGCTAAATGCTGGCAGCAGTGCTCTGGGAATCCTGCCATCACCTCCTATAGGCTGATATTTGGAGCCCCTTTTGTTCCTAGGTGATAGGAAGGGTGACCTTCCTAGAGATGCCAGACTCTCCCTCCTCTGTTCCTCTGCATGGAGGCTAACAAAACAGGTGATTTTCATGTGAAGAGGGATGAATGGGCATCATCAAGACTGAGGAAGGCCTTTGCTGGGAGGGATGCTGAGCATGGTGTCTGTCAGGACATCAGAAGCTTGTGAGCCACAGAATGACTCCAGGTAGCAGATACTGGATGAAGGTCAGGCCATCTACAGAAAGGACAGTCTAAGGGGACAGGCAAGGATGAAAGTAAGGCTGACCGTCAGCAGCAGAGAGGCCGTTCTGGCCAGGGGACAGACTTTCAGTACAGCTCACAAAGGCTATGAGATGAAAGCGTACTGATCATGACTTGGTGTTGCTAGTTCTTTGTACAGGAGGGTAGATAGCTATGAGCAGAAGGCAAAAGCAGCTTGAGAAGCACCAAGGGAAAATGACACTGTAGATTGTAAGTAGCTTATGTATTGCTTAACACTCTCTTGCCAGGTACTTGTCCTGTTGGGGGTTGGGCAGCAGTGACCAAAAGCAGTCATGGCTCTGCCTTTAAGGGGCTGACATTCTAGAGAGGGGAGGGCTGTTGAGCAACCCATTTTAACCTTGGTAATCCCACAAAGGGAGAGGGCAAGGTGCAAGATGGCAATCATGAGAAGCTTCCTAGAAGTGAAGTATCTGGGGTTCTAAGGGCATTCCAGCTCCACAGAATGACCCATGCAAAGCTTTGGGTAGGAAAAAATGCTTCAGGCATGGAACAGAAACCAATGTGACAGAAGCTTCAAAGGTGATGGGTGTCGGGGGACAGAAGAGAGGCTAGAGGGTAGGGAAGGGAGGATTATATCCCAAAGACCTTGTAGACTGCTCTCAGAGTTTTGATCTTTACCCTGAGGACAAGGAGAGGTTACTGAAGGATTTAAAGCTGGCCAGTGAACAGCTCAGTGTACCTTGAGATATTTTCACTTGAGACCAGCGGGATGAATGCAGCACCCAAGGGCATGGAGGGGGTTGAGAACAGGTAGAGGGGAAGGAAAATGGACACATTTGGGAGATGAACCAAATGCAGAAATTAGGTGTAACAGTGTCATCTCTGTGAGCTGTTCACTTCATGCTCGTGGAGATCTGTATTTCTGGGCCTGGAAGGGTTGTAGAACTCACCAGGCTCTGAGGAGTTTCAGGCTACAGCATAAACCAGTGATTTGCTAACCTGAAGTTTAATGCAAACATAAATATATATAAATAAATCAGAATAGACTGGAATCACATGACAGAGTATAATGTATTTTGCTTGGATGTACATTGTTTCATGGAACTTCATTGTAGATGCAATGTAAAATGTATTTCTTTAAATTTTTAAAAAATTTTATTTATTTTTATCTTTTGTTTATGGGTGTTTTGCCTACATGTGTGTAAATGCATCACATATGTGCAATGCCTGTGGAGGTCAGAAGAGGGTGTTGGATCCTCTGGGACCAGATTTATGGATGGTTGTTAGGCACCATGTGGATTCTGGGAACCAAACCTGGGTCCTGTGCACGAGCAGCCAGTGCAGCTCTCCAGCCTCATTAAATATATTTCTTAATGTGGGCCATTGGCTATATTTCTACCCCTCACTGAGGGAAAGGGATGAGGAAGTGACCACCAGTGCTTCTTGCCATTGGGCTCTTCCCAAGGTGGGAGATTAAGAGACCTCATCTTCTCCTTCTTTGACACCCCCATTGGTACATTTTAAGTGTTTCCTAGGTTAGGGAGATAAGACCTGACAGTAGGTAGAAGGTTCCAGAGGAAGGTGGTGGCCTACAAGGAAGGCCGCATCCCACAGGAAGGGCCACATCCCACCATTTCTTGCCTTTCAGAAACAGCATCGCCGCTTCTGCTGTCTGCGCCTTCAACCTCAGTGCCATCTCCCGGGCATTCAACGGTCCATTCCGTTACCAGGAAAACCCTAGGGCTGCCTGGCTCCCTATCGCCAACCCCATCCCTAATTTCCAGGTACAGCTTTTTCTCCTTTGCCTCCTCCTCTACCAGTTACAGCTGACTCTCAACTGCTTAGCACAGACTATTGCCAGGCCTGCTGCCCTAAGTCTGTCTTTGGGGTCTGTGACAAGCCCCTAAGAAGGTGGTAACTTCTCAGGCTGTGAGCAAGAAGAGGATGGAGAAAGGTAGAGCCAGGGAGTCTGCTCTAAGCCATCTCTATATGTGACTCCACACCTTCAGAGAGCAGGCACTGTGAAGTGTGGGAAAACCAGAAAGCACTACACAGGCAAACTGTGACTACACTTCGGGCATTTTATATGGAGATTGTTCACAGTGTGTCTAGTATGGTCTTCAAGGTCTCTGAATGCGGGCAGTAGTTAGGGTTATTTTGGGTGGTGTGTATGAGCCCCCTTCTGTGATGAGAAAGGGAAAGCACAATTGGGTTGATGGTTGACTTTCGTGTCCATCCAACTGCCTGGTCCAGGGGTGGTGTGGAGCTGGGAAAGACCTTAGGCTTTTCCATCTAGCAATCCTGACCCCATATAGCCTGTCTCTATGTAATGTTGGGCAGATCACCCAACCTCCTTGAGCCTCGTTTTCCTTATCTGGAACTTTACCTCACAGATCTGTGTAAAGATTGCTATAGCCAGTAATAGAAGATGCTTGACTGCCTTCCTGCTTTGGACTAGAAAGCATGAGAACTTGGAGCTGCTAGGGATATAGGAGAAAACAGCTTGACCCACTGTGGGGATGGGCACTTTTGAAGCAGCTTAAAGAACACAGGACACTGTCCACACTCAAATCTGTCTGGAGTTAGTCCAGACCCCTTTGTCCTCCTGGTCCTCTTCCCCAGACCCTGGCAGGTCTCATCTCTGGCATCTTCCCAGCCCCAGGGTCTCCTGGTTTTAAAGAAGACATCTTTTCCTGGAAAAGATTCAGGGAACCCCAGAGACAATGCTGGAGGCGGAGATATTGGAGAAATAGTATCTACCCTAGGTCCCTTGGGTGGGAAGGTGATCCTACAGCCCCTGCGGTGTGGGGGCTGGGCACCTGTGACCCTGTTCCCTGTGGCAGTGTGGCACCCTGCCAGAGACTGGCCCCAACGAGAACCTCACCGAGCGCAGCCTGCAGGATGCGCAGCGCCTCTTCCTGATGAGCGAGGCCGTGCAGCCGGTGACGCCCGAGCCCTGTGTTACCCAGGACAGCGTGCGATTCTCACACCTGGTGGTAGACCTTGTGCAGGCCAAGGACACGCTCTACCATGTGCTCTACATAGGCACGGGTGAGCCGACCAGGCCCCACGTAGACCGCAGATTGGGAAGCGGTTGCGGGGCGGGGACTCGGCTGTGAGCTGCCGCAGCTTCAAGACCACCTCGGTCTGGCTCCCCAGAGTCGGGCACCATCCTGAAGGCGCTGTCCACCACGAGCCGTAGCCTCCGTGGCTGCTACCTGGAAGAGCTGCACGCGCTGCCCCCCGCGCGCCGCGAGCCCCTACGCAGCCTGCGTATCCTGCACAGCGAACGTGCGCTCTTCGTGGGACTAAGTGATGGTGTGCTTCGGGTCCCGTTGGAGAGGTGCACCGCCTACCACAGCCAGGGGTAAGCCACTGCAAGGAGGGCAGCGGCCGACTAGGGTGGGGTGGAGGCTATCCCACCAATCACACCTTGAAGGGAGGTGACGACGCTTAAGTGGTGCAAAGTACATTTGGAGTCTGGAACACCTGCCATCTCAACTTTGCGGGTCTCACTTCTCATTTCTCAACTTGTGTTGCTATTAAACTTTTAATATGCATTTTTCACTCTCCAAGAGGTTATAAATCAACAGTAAATTCAATGGCCCAGTATTCTTTATACTTCACCAGTCAACCCTGCCCTACTCAGACTGGCCTGTTGCCCAGGGCTGATGCTTCAGCTGACTGATTCTTTGACCTAAGAGGAGGCTGGTACAGGAGAGGCAAGGGGAATGGACCTGGCATACTGAGGCCAGCTAGTGGGGCTCTAGCTCACTCTGAAGTCCTGGTCTACAGCAGATGAGAGGAAGACAAGGGGCCAGACATTTACACACTCATATGGTCCTGTGGGGGGGGGGAGTTTACATACTGTGCCCAACATGCTTTTACTCTGGAAAGAGATGGCAGAGGTCAGTTTGGAGTCTAGCTTCCTGAATATGGGATATACACCCTGAAGTAGATAATGAAAATTCTGCTATAAAGCTTCAGGTGTGTGTGTGGAGGGGGGCTCCACACATGCTCAGTGGCATGTGTGTAGTCCCTCAGATAAATAAATAAATGTAAAATGTTTTTGAAAGTGACAAGTGGCTCTAAAACCTATAAACTGAAAAGTTACATAATTGCAAAGTGTATAAAATGACAGGAACAAGTATGTGCAGCCACCAAGCTGTGCATTCTAGATGTCTTGGAGCCAAATACCAAAGTACATCAGAAGTGTGCTATCACAGGTGTGTGTGTGTGTGTGTGTTTGTGTGTGTGTGTGTGTGTGTGCGTGTGTGTAACAGGGCTTCACTATGTTGTAGGCATTTCACATTTGTGCCTTCTTTCCTTCCAAAGTTGGCAGAAGGATCAGTGTGGGTAAGCAGAGACACTATCCAGGCCCCTCCTCTACCCAGGATCCAGGGTTCCTCTCACTTGGACACATCTCAGCCCCATAGGGTACAACCAAGACCCTGGCTTGACTCGGAGAGGGGCAGGGCTTTCAGGAAGAGGAGGCCAGTCCTGGGCTGTATCAAGTAGATACTCAATGCCTGAATCAGTACCTTCCTCCTGCCAGCATATCTTTCACCTTGACCCCAGTGCACTCACAGATCTCCTCTGCCTGCTGTATTCAAGGAAGGTACAAGCTCAATGGCATCTCCTTCCAATCAGGCCCTTGTGCTAGGAAGTCTTGGGTAATGGTGATTCACTCACAAGACCCAGGATACCACTTCTACCCTGGACAGCTCCCATTGTAAGGCTATTGCTGCAAGGAGCCTGGATCCTCTGGCTCACAACACCTACTATCCATCTCTGTCCTGCTTGAGAGCTGGTAGAATGAACCTGTTCCCTTTTGTAATGGCTGCTTGAGACACTGCAGTAAAAAAGACACAGTGATATATTATTGGCCTGATGGCTCCTTTCATGAAAGAACTCTAAATTGCCTCCACTTTCCACAGTCTCATGCACACTCTAACTCTCTTTAGCTTGGGGCTTTCATTTTCTTCAGCATGTTCCTTGTTCTGTCAGCTTTGAGGTGCCCTTTGGCCCAAACGCAGAGAGTATGAATCCACCCGAGCTTGGGGAGCAGCGATTCTCTTTAGTTATTCATAGGAGGAGGAATAGGCACTGGCCCGGAGAGTCTCAAAGACATCTCAGACTGGCAGGGCGAGACTCAGCATCAGGGGGTGTTGTCTGTAGAGCATCTGGTCTCTTCTTCTTGGGGCCTTAACTAGTCAGGAGAGACTGAGCAGATAAGAGGTCCTAGAGTGAAAAGGGTGGGGCCAGCATCTACTCTGTGTCTTTCTCTCCTACACCCCACCCCCATTCTGTCAGGGATTGGAAAAACAAGGCACTTTACCACTTGGCTTGAGACCCTGACAAAAGTGGTGTTGGAACAGCAGTTCTCAACCATGGTGACTCATTGGAGTCATCCAGGGAGCTTAAAGGTTCTAATGCCTGGGCCTCTTCCAGTCCCAAAGGCCCAGATGCAGGCAGGCTTTTTGTTCTGTTTGCTTAAGTGTTTCAAAAGATGCCCAGGAAATTACAACATGCACTGCAGACTGGAAACTACTGCTTTAGACCTGGAAGCCCTAGAGGAAGAGGCACCAGGCACACATTTCCTCCACAGTCCTATGCTTTAGTCTTACATAAGCTGATTCTTCCTTCATTAACCATTTTCTCTACTGGAAGACACTTGTTTTTGGTGGATTGAGTTTTATTTGTTGGTTTGGAGGATGGCTCTGTCAGTAAAGTGTTTGCCTTGCAAGTTGGAGGACCTAAATTCAATCCCCAACACCCAAGAAAAAAATGCTTGGTGTGGGTGGGTCACACTTATAATTCCATCACTGGGGCGGAGGAGTGGGCAGAGATAGGTGGGTCCCTGGGGCTTGAGGGCCAATCAGTCTAGCTTAATTCATGCTTTCCCAACCCAGTGAGATACCCCTCAACTGAATTTATTGCTTCTAAGGTATCAAGCTCAAGAGGCACCTGATATGGCACTTTATAAGGAACATAGACTCATTGGATAAAAGATAATTAGTCATCACTTGTGATAGATAATAACAAATAAGATTCTTCCTTCTCTATGTATGTATGGGGGTGTTGCATGCACATGTGCATGCTTGTATGTGGAGGCTAGAAGACACTTCTTGGGTGTCATCAGAAACACCATTTACCTCCTTTAAGGTATGGTTTCTTGAGGCTGGAGAGATGGCTTCCAGAGGCCCTGGGCTTGGTTCCCAGCACCCACATGGTGACTAACAACAAAAGGTGTTAATGTCAATCGAAGACTCTATTGAGTTCTGATGGTTGATTTGTTTCTTCTTGGTCCAAATGTCAGCCAGTGGGCAGAGTCTCAACCATGGGTTGCCAGTCTGGTGCACCTGGATTGTTCTGAGCCCCAGTTCATCCAGTTTGATGGATTGTGATGATGAAACATCCTCAGATCAAACTATTGATCCCAGAGGAAAATATGAATGTATTTACACTGTACAATTTATATAAGTTGCCCTTGAATGAGTAAAGAGGAAATAGATTCACTAGCAACAGACAAGTGAGTGCTGGAGTCTAGTGGGGGCCTCACTAATGGAGGCCCCAAACACCACTTTGCTTATACAAGATTATAGGAAAGCCGGTAACAGGGGACAGCACCCCATCTTCATCAACTCTTCCCTCCTGTTTTCTTCGTTACCACTCTCCCATGGCTTCTTCCTGCCTCCCCAGTAGAGCTCAATATGATCTTTTGAACTCACTAACTGGGCTATAGATTAATTAACTAAATCACAGCTGTCAAATGACAGTCCTTGAAGCTTCCAGAGAAAAGGAAAATTCCATGCTGGAGACACCAACACTGCAACCTTTTGGCTCTTTCATGGATTGCTTTGGCTTTCAGCATCCTTGGTCCTTTGGCCACTGGGAAATTCCTTTTGTGAGCTTGCACAAGGCCATGGACTCTCCAGAACACCTCTTTGCCTTCTTTGTTGATCAGTACTTCCTTGTCAAGGTCTCTTCTGTTTCCTAACCTCTGATTTCTGAGCCCCCGTACTTTCTAAACCCTCCTCAGCAGATCTGGTCAGAAAGGAAGTAAAAGCTTGAATAGTGGGCTCACTGGGGAGCTGCAGGTCCCCTCTCCTGGCTCCTGGACCTGATGCTCTCTTTAGTCCACAATGGACAGCAAATTTTGACTCCATAATCCCCACAGATTCTTTCCCTCCTCTTTGAAGTCCTAAAGCAGAGATTTAAATTTCTTATTTAAAAATGTAAAGGCTAAGTTACCTGAGTAAATCAGAAGAAGAAAAGGAAGAAATTAGCCCTGGAGGATGAGGAGTGGAGGCATCTGAGGCATGCATTCATGGGTGAACCATTATCTTTTCTGGGCCACTGCATGGAGGCCAGCCTTGCATCCAGGAAAGTGGGCTTGGGATATGACCTTGCCTGAGCTCATTCTCCTGATGCTAAGCCATTGGCCTCTACCTTGTACCACCAAACAGCACAAGCATGGGGAAACCCCTCATACCCCTGGACTGTAGCCATACATCCTGCTTTCCTGTGCTGTGTTTTGAGGGATGGGTCCACCTTCAGTCAGGGTGTAAAGTTAGATGTGCCTATGGCTGGGAGAATGGAGGGTGAGGGAAAGGACATAGTTGGGAAGCAGATATGACCCTAATTCCATGAGGTACAATTTGTGTGATCACTGGGAAACCTCTTTCCTTCTCTTTTGTACAATGAGAAGACTATTATCCATCCTAGTGGTTCTGAATAGGGCTTTCTTTAGCATCATCCAGGGGGCTTTAAAAACCACCCTACCAGGCTGGAGAGATGGCTCAGCGGTTAAGAGCACTGGCTGCTCTAGAAATGGATCCAAGTTTGATTCCCAGCACCCACATGGTGACTAGCAACTGTTCATAACTCCAGTTCTAGGGGAATCTGACGCCCTCTTCCGACCTCCGAGGGCACTGCATGACACGGGTGCACTTACCTGCAATGCAGGCAACACACTCATACACATAAAATAATAAAATATTAAAAAAAAACCACCCTACCATAGAGATTTGTATTTGGGGCGGACTCAGGTATCAGTATTTTTTCTCCAAATTCTTTGGATGATTTTCATGTAAGCAAGAGCTGAGAATGACTTTAAGGTTGTCTCTATGTCTACTCTGAACATCTGACAGGGAGAGGCTACCTCTTTGCATTTCTGTGATCCATATCCCCTCTAGTGGCTCCGAGTGAGGAGTGATGGGGCCCTCACTCGAGGGAAAAACAGTCCAGTCCCCTGACTGAGTTTGATCCTTGGCAAGCTCTCTGGGTTTTCCTCCTACTTTGTGGAACAGTAAGGTTCCTACCTCACCAGGTTATTGCATTGACTACATGCATTCTAAAATGTAAGACAAAGCTGAGACTGAAAAGCCAGTGGGCTTGAGTCTCAGGACTTCCATCTGCCAGGGCATGCCTGGGGGCACGGGACCCATACTGCGGCTGGGACGGGAAGCAGCAACGTTGCAGCACGCTTGAGGACAGTTCCAACATGAGCCTCTGGACTCAGAACATCACAGCCTGTCCTGTGAGAACCCTTGTGTGCCCTCCCACCTTTTCCCTCAGTGCAAGCCATGACTTCCCAACAATGTGCCCCATGTCCCCTGGGATTTCATCCTTTCCCTGCCCTTGCCTTGTGTGACAGGAGTCCTGCCCCTTATGTGAGTCTGCAGGTTCGGAATGTGACACGGGATGGGGGCTTTGGCCCATGGTCACCATGGCAACCATGTGAGCACTTAGATGGAGATAATTCAGGTTCTTGCCTGTGCCGGGCCCGATCCTGTGACTCCCCACGGCCCCGCTGTGGAGGCCTCAACTGCCTGGGACCAGCCATCTACATTGCCAACTGCTCCAGGTAGGTGAAGATGGAGCTTGCCTGGTGTCTGCTTAGGACTCAGTTGGAGAGAATGGGGAAAATGGGGGCATCCTACCCAGGAGTTTACATTTGAGGGCAATGCTGGGGGATTGGATAGGAGGCTGATGTCTGAGGCAGGAATTATGAGCACTAGTGGTTTCCACAGTAGTGGAAGAAGACAAGTTTCTGCATCATAGCATAAGATGCAAAGACAAAGACTGGGCAGGCATGGGAGTCACTTCCAAAGGCTAGTGGCAATAAGCCTTGCTGTCCCAAACTTGAAGGGCAGCAGGAGATGGTGGCAATCCTGGGCACAGTCTAGAGACATGGCCTTGTCAGCCCTCTGACCACTCTTTCTAAGTAAGGAATGCAATACCCACCTGAGAGTTGCTGCGAAGGTTAAAAGAGATAATGTATGTGAAGAACCAGATACATACTCTGGTATACGGGGACTCCATAAAATGGATATAATCACAACTAACCCACAATTTTAAATACTCTCAAAATAATTATTTCATTTACATTTAATAATTTAACCCTTACAGCAATCTCAAGGGGGAGTCGGGGTGGGAATTCAATAATTAGTCTTACTTTAAAGAAAAGAGTACCAATAAGCAAGAGAGACCAACTTTGATCACTGAGGTCAACGTGGACATGAGTTAATCTTGTCTGAGGTTGGGACAAAGCTTGTGCAGGGGAGAAAGAGGGATAACTGGTCTGAGAGCAAGGATTGGCTAACTGCAGAGGGGTGACGGAAGGTTGCAGTTTGGAAGGGTAACTGAGGCCTTTCTAAAGAGTGTGTCCTTTTGCCTGTCTGTGTAGGGGCCCAGCCCTATCTCTGTGTCCTTGGCCCTGAGCACAGCCTGATATATGGAAGAAGGCTCTCAATACATAATTGAGGCATGAATGAGCAAACGGATGAATGCACGAATCTGCCTGAGCCAGCCTGGTTAGGAGCTGATATTTTCTGTCACTGTCTTGCCAGTCCTGACAACATTACAAAATCCACCTGTCCCAGATGCAGCCCAGATCTGAGAAGCTAGGGCTCAGAGGGGCATGTGTCTCTGTCCCCTCCCACCCCACCAGGAATGGGGCGTGGACCCCGTGGTCATCGTGGGTGCAGTGCAGCACATCTTGTGGGATCGGCTTCCAGGTCCGCCAGCGAAGTTGCAGCAACCCAGCGCCCCGCCACGGGGGCCGCATCTGCGTGGGCAAGAGCCGGGAGGAGCGGTGAGCTAGCACAGCTGCGGGGATCCAGGCGCCCTTGCAGCCTGGATTCTCCAGGGGACCCAGGAGACTTCTCTGCTTGCCATCCCAGCACTCCCAGGGATGGCGGTACTCCTCCCTAGGGTCACACTCTTCCTCTCCTCTCCAGGTTCTGTAATGAAAACACGCCCTGCCCAGTGCCCATCTTCTGGGCTTCCTGGGGCTCCTGGAGCAAGTGCAGCAGCAACTGTGGAGGAGGCGTGCAGTCGAGGCGTCGGGCCTGCGAGAATGGCAACTCCTGCCCAGGCTGCGGCGTGGTGAGGGCTTGGGCGTGGAGATCGAGGCCGGAGCCGGGTAGGCGGGGAGCCGCCGGGCTCTGAAACCATTTCTACCCTTGAAGGAGTTCAAGACGTGCAACCCCGACGGCTGCCCGGAAGTGCGGCGCAACACGCCCTGGACGCCCTGGTTGCCTGTGAACGTGACGCAAGGCGGCACGCGGCAGGAGCAGCGTTTTCGCTTCACCTGCCGCGCTCCCCTGGCTGACCCACACGGCCTGCAGTTCGGCAAGAGAAAGACGGAGACGAGGACCTGCCCCGCCGACGGCTCGGGAACCTGCGACACAGACGGTACCTGCGCACCACGCGGGGAGGCGGGCGGGGGGGAGCCCGGGGCGGCCTGGGGCGGGCACAGTGGCTGAGACCCGAGGCCCTCTGCAGCCCTGGTGGAGGATCTCCTGCGCAGCGGGAGCACCTCCCCGCACTCTCTGAGCGGAGGCTGGGCTGCCTGGGGCCCGTGGTCGTCCTGCTCCCGGGACTGCGAACTGGGCTTCCGTGTCCGCAAGAGAACGTGTACCAACCCGGAGCCCCGCAACGGGGGCCTGCCCTGCGTGGGAGATGCTGCCGAGTACCAAGACTGCAACCCGCAGGCTTGCCCAGGTAACCTTAGGGAAGGAAGCCTTGCTGGGAACTCTCTGTCAATGCTAGCCACAGGATCTCTTCTGCAGAACAAGGGCTCCAGGGCTTGCTTATTCTTTTTTTTTTTTTTTTTTTGGAGACAGGATCTTACTATGTAGCCCTAGCTGACCTGAAACAGAGATCCACCTATCTCTGCGTGCTGAGTACTGCGATTAAAAGCCTGCGATCGTGAACGCAGTGGCCACTCCAATGGAGCAGGGCCTTACTTTCTTCATTATTACCTCACTTTTTTTCTCCCCTGTGGAGCTAGCTAAATAGGTTAATTTGAGGTGGAGCTGGTTTGTGGGGAGAGATATAGAGGGATGTGGAACAGCACTGCCCCCTTGGAGTTGGAGCAGCCTTAACGATATGGCCTTTTGGGTGGGAATAGTGTGGGGTAGATGAGGAGGCCATGAGGTTCAAAGCATCCCCCACTCCATCCCTTTCAGTGCGGGGTGCCTGGTCCTGCTGGACTGCATGGTCCCAGTGCTCAGCATCCTGTGGTGGTGGCCACTATCAACGCACAAGGTCCTGCACCAGCCCTGCACCCTCCCCAGGTGAGGACATCTGCCTTGGCCTGCACACGGAGGAGGCACTATGTGCTACACAGGCCTGCCCAGGTATCGGGTCCATCCGCCTGGGGTTGGGGAATGTTATGGAGCTGCTAAGCCTCACCAAGGACATCCTGAGTCATTCAACCTCATTTCACAACCCACAACCCACAGAAGGCTGGTCACTGTGGTCTGAGTGGGGTGGCTGCACTGAGGATGGAGTCCAGAGTCGGAGCCGAAGCTGTGAGGAGCTTGTCCCAGGCCCAGGTGCCTGTGTTGGCAACAGCAGCCAGAGCCGATCCTGTCCCTACAGTGAGATTCCTGGTTGGTCCTTGTCTTAACACCTTCCCCATTGGGGTCCCAATGCTTTACACACACACCAGTCCCCTCACACCCACCCTTTCTGAAACTCGAGGCCTGAGGCAGAGATAGGAGTGCAGGATAAAGCATCAAAGGTGACACTTTTGCCTCTGGCACATGCTTGGGGCCGGCCCTGCATAGAGAAGGGGTCTGCAGAGAAGCTGGAGAGAGAACAGTTGCCAGACTCAGTCCTGCAATTCATTGCTGACCTAGGGGTTCTTGCCCACTGCACCCAGCCCAGGAGGGACTCCTCTCTCTCTGCACTGCCTAACCTTCACTTATTTCCCTGCAGTCATCCTGTCAGCCTCCAGCGTGGAGGAGGCCACCAGCTGCGGAGGTAAATGGCTCCTCTCAGTCACTGTCCTTGTCCCTCCTCCACCACTTCAAAGCCTGGATTCTTCCTGCTTCTGCTGTAGACAGCCATGCCTAGGGGTCCCCACTGCTTCAGGGTCATGCACAGAGAGGTCTGGGAAGTTCCCCACCCCCACCCCCAAGACCTCTCAGCTAGGCCACTGTCAGCCTGCATTCAAGAAAGTTATCTATATTCAGGTTGTCATCTTGTCATCCATATGCTGTCCTGGGAAAGAAGACCCTGGTGACAGACTGGCCAGCCTCCCAGTGTCCTTTGGGCTCTAGTCCCAAAGCCCTTTCCTATCTTCATGTTCTAGAGCCTCCTGTGACTCCTTCTGCTCCCAGGGAGGCAATCAGGAGGACTACTACTTCACTGTGACCTCTTCCTTTATACCTGCCTATCCTTCCAGGGTTCAGTCTCATTTACCTGGTAGCCACCGGTGTCTCCTGCTTCCTGGGCTCTGGGCTCCTGACCTTGGCAGTGTACCTGTCTTGCCAACATTGCCAGCGTCAGTCTCAAGAGTCCACGCTTGTCCATCCAGCCACCCCCAACCACTTACACTACAAGGGTGGGGGCACCCCCAAGAATGAGAAGTACACACCCATGGAATTCAAGGTGGGAACCTCCATGTAGAAACAGAGAGCAGGGTGAAGGGTACAGTGGTCCTGGCTCTGTGCTGGGCATAACTGGGTGGGTAGTGGGAAGGGGCAGTGGTGATGTGAACACTGTCTGTCAGCAGCTAGAATGTCCCCTCACTGGCTGGCTCTGGACTCCTTGCCCTGGGCTGGCCCCATCCCCATCCCCTTCTCTTCTCTCTTTGATTTCTTTTTCTTCCCATAGACGCTGAACAAGAATAATTTGATCCCTGATGACAGAGCTAACTTCTATCCACTGCAGCAGACCAATGTGTACACAACCACCTATTACCCCAGCCCACTGAACAAGCCGAGCTTCCGACCTGAGGCCTCGCCTGGACAGCGTTGCTTCCCCAACAGCTGATCCTACCATCCTGGGACTTGGGCTCCTTGCCTTCCCAAGGCACAGAGCAATGGAATGGGACAGTAGCGCCACTTTGGTTTTCCCTCTGCGCTGGGCTGAGAACTTGCTGCCTGGCCTGTGAGGGGTCCTATCCCGCTTCAAAAAGGTCTAGATGTCAGTGACCATGTGGGAGAGGGCTGGCTTCAGACTGGTACATGACTGTGGATCCAGTGCAGCCCAGGTTTCATGGTCTGTGACCCACCATCACCCTCCCCTGCCATGTCTGAAATAGCAGACCTATTGGACATGTGACAGATTGGAGAGTAGATATTACAGGAGAACAGGCTTTGGGATGGATATGACTTCCACTGGCCACCACCACCCAAGTCTGCCCCTTTTGGATGGCCCTAAGAAAGGCCTGGGCTACATTCAGCTTGTCTCTGAAAGGAATTAATCAGATGGCCCAGTAGCTCTGGATCTTGGGCCAGGGCTGGACCACTATGGTGCTGCCCACAAAGTGGCATAGGGGTCTAGTGCTGGCCTAAATTGTCCATGTCTATCCAGAAATCTGTATCTAGACCAGGGACATCCCTTTGGTCAGAGGCAGTAAGTAATGAGAACTGGAGGCTGGTCTGTGCTGAGAAGCCCTTTAATCAGACGTGGCTTAGGCCTTAGCCTCAATGTAGCCCAGGAGGATGGAAGGCTGAAGACCATAGGAGGCAGAGTCTAGCCTCTGTGCCTCTATGGAGACTGTTGCTGCTCACCAGTCATTCTCTGAGAACTGTTTGGGAGTCTCTGCTGGCCCCTCATCTATTCAGGAACACACACACACACACACACACACACACACACCACACCACACACACCACACACACACATACACGCCCACACACAAACCATCTGCTACAGCAACAAAAAGGATGTTAAGCTGTGGCATTATTAATTAAAGATGATATCCAGTCTCCAAATGGAACTGTCTTTGTGCATATGTGTGTGGGCCCCTCTTGGCACAGTCTCATCCATTGGTGCAATACTCTGAGGTAACAGATGGTTTCTCAATGTGGAGGAAACAACCCAAGTGGAGTTTGACTTTATTTTTTTAATTTAAAAAAAGATTTATTATTTTTTGTGTATGAGTGTTCTGCCTGCGTGTATGTAAGTGCCCCATTTGTGTACAATGCCTTCAGAGGCCAGAAGAGAGTGTTGGATTCCCCTGAAACTGGAGATATGGACCCTTGTTAGCTGCCATGCATGTGCTGTGAACTGAATCCAGGTTCTCTACTAGTGCAATCAGTGCTCCTGAGCCATCTCTCCAACCCTGTGTTTGACTTCATAGAGGGTGTCTCTCCATGTGTGTTTATGCACATGCACACTCAGATTGCCCTAATCCCTTTCAGAAAAGAACCTGGGGTAAATAAAATTCACAAATGGGGACCCAAGGTACTGTCACTGTCCTTCAACACAGCAAGAAAGGTTTGGTATGCTCCCTGAGCAGCTCTTCCCAGCAGCTTCAGGGTAGAGATGGGGGAATCCAGCAGGAGAGTATCGATGAGGGTGATTCATGAGATGTGTTTGACGCTGAGTTTAATAAAACCAAATTGAGGAATGAGTAAACCCATGAGGTGGGGGAAGCCTAATGTAGTTTTTGCTGGATTAAATAAAAATAACCTCAGAGATTCAGCCCACCAAATCAATGCTGCCATAGTGGGTAAGATTGATGGACATGTTAAATTTAGAGAGCAATTTCCTGACTTAATTGGATAGATCAATTCTCTTAAGATTTTCAGCAGAGTGTAATTGTAGGTCGGCTGTAAAGCCTGTATCTCAGTAGCAGAGGGAGTGGAAGTTTCTGGGGAGTGGAAGAAAGGGCTTGAAGCTTGGAAGTGTCTGGAAGAAAGGAAGAACAGCCCTTCTGGAATTTTGGTGCTCGGATGAGACAACTCAAATAGCAACGTCAAGGACATCAAGGGGGAAACCCAGAGCTCAAGGAATGTGCATATTTGCAGCTTTCAGGTCCCTGGCTGGTTCCCATCAGCCCCATGAGTCCAGAGTTTTGGGGGGCCTGTGGGGCATTTTAGATCCTGGACTTTCAAATTGCCCTGAGCCTGATAGTACTAATAAAGACCATAAGTGTTCCAGGGCCAGAGTGTCTGCCTCAGAAGGGTCACTTCTGTATGACCAAGTGGAGGGACAGCTTTGTAGGAGCAACCATGAAGAATTCCCACATACTGACCACCCCTGTGGGTTTTAATGACATCACGAGTCACATACACATGCACACCACTGAATTCTGTTAAAAAAGCAAGCTTTGGAGGTTAAGTACCCAGAATCCATGGGAGGCTCCACACTGCATGCAGAGGAGATGGCATGGTTGGTAAAGGCTATTTAATAACCAGCCCCAGACCAAAGCAAAGGACCCTGAGTCACCCTCTCACACACCCTGACAAGTAAGTGTTCTCTGACATGTGTAAGGAAGTTGAAGTATCAAAGGAAAGTGAGCTTTCTCTGCCTGGCTGGCTCAGCAAAAATGTGAGGAAAGGGCAGGAGTAGGTGCTTCAGGCCTTCTTGAGCCCTTTTGTGTTTAACTTTGTGTGTATACTCACCTTCTTATTAAAATGCATATTCACTGCAGAAAATTTAGAAGACACGGGAAACCAAAAATCTTAGCATGATTATACTAAAAATCAAGGCAGAAATTTAGGGATTTTAACATGCAGTATGAAGACAGTTCTTCCCCTTTCTTTCAGAATTGCCCCCAAAGTAAAGGAAATAAGACACAAAAGCACTGACACCGTTTTCACTAAAACTAGGATGTAGCTCTAATCCAACTCATAATACAGCCATCCCTCCCTATTCTTGGAGAATTGGCTCCAAGACACTCCCTCCACTGTCAATGCCCAAACCTGTGGATCCTGATGTCCCTTGGGTAAAATGGAGTGCATTTGCATGTAGGTGATGCACCCTCTTCTGTGTATTCTGACCATCTCTAGATGAATTCTGATACCTAATGCAATAGAAATGCCTTGCGAATTCCACATTGCTGAGGGAATAATGATGAAGAAAAAATTTGTGCATGTTCAGTTCAGATGCAGTTTCCCCCCAAACACTTTCCATCTATGCTTATGTGGATATGGAGCCTATGGTAGGGAGCTGACTGTCCATGATGACAGAAAGTGGGTATCGGAATTGGGAATGGGGCAAGCCTAACATCCAAGGGATTTCAGAAAATCAGAAGTTGGAGGAACCCGATATGAGAAAGGTAATAACTGAAAGGGGTTGCTTGGAAGCCCATGTGAGCACTTTAGCTAAACCTCCAAGTTTTGGGGCTGCATGATTTTTTTTTTTCTTTTTTTGTGAAATAAGACCCAGGCACAGAAAAGCCATATAAAGCAAAAGTATAGCTTAGGAAACGCGGGGTAAGACTTTTTGTAACAATGACTCAGGTCAAAAAAATAGAGCATTGCAGAATTCCCCAGACCCTTTTCCTCATCTCGTCCTCATTCATCCTCCTCCTTCCCACAATGAGGTAATTATTAGCACCAGGAAAAACAAAAGCGCAAGAGGGAGGGAAACGCAACCATTGTGTGCCACATGGGCAACACCATGAGCCTACCTCTATACTAGCAATACAAACTATTTGGTATTATTGATCACTATGTAATTAATATGTATATTATAACCTTTTCATTATACGAGCGGCAATACCAAAGGCACATGTATCTGACTGTTAATGCTAGCAATATTAGGGTGACTATTAGGAGAGAAAGAAAATGAAAACTTCTTTTAAATACCTTCCCATTATAACCATGATATATATTCATTTTAGAAATTTTGAGGACAGAAATACCTGCCTGCAGTCGGTCAAGATGGGATATCACTCCAACTGGAGCTCTTTGAACCTTGTACTTCCAAAACCATGGGCTGAACAAACCTATGTTTGCAAGTTAAAATCAAGAAGAAAAGGAAGAAAAAATAATTTTGGAAATGCCTAGGATGTAGCTCAGTTGCATGCATGAGGCCCTGCATTTGACTCCCAACACCAAGTAATTCATTGGGGCTGGGGATAGAGCTCGCTTGGTGGAGTGCTTAGCATGAATAGAACTCTAGGTTCCACATCAGCACAGAAAAACCCAGATGTCCTAGTGCATGCCTATAATCTCAGCACTTGAGAGGTGCAGACAGGAAGATGAGGAATTCAAGGCCATTCTTGATTACACAGTTAATTTGAGGATGACCTGAAAGACAGGAGACCCCATCTCAAATAAACAAAAAGCAAGCAAACAGAATTTTGGAAAATAAAGGGAAAAAAGCTAATAAAATATTGATATCCTAAAGCCTAATCAAGAGACAGTCATCAATATCTTAATATGTTCTTTTGTAGTCATTTCTTTATGGTTGCATGTGAGTTTGGGAGTAGTTTATAAAAGTAATACAAACAACTATATGTTTTTTTGTGTTTTTTTGTTTGTTTGTTTTTGTTTTTTTGGTCTTTTTGAGACAGGGTCTCTCTGAGCACTAGCTGGCCTGGAACTCGCTATATAGACTAGGCTGGTCTTGAACTCACAGCAATCCACCTGCATCTGCCTCCCAAGTGCTGGGATTAAAGGCAAGTGCCACCACACCCAGCAAGTATATGATTTTAATTCTGATTTTAACACATAACACATACCATAATTTCCTTATATTGTTAAAAACTCTTATGCAAGCCTCAGGGTTCTTTTCAGTCACTTCAGTGGGTAGAAACAGATGGGGGGGGAGAGAGAGAGAGAGAGAGAGAGAGAGAGAGAGAGAGAGAGAGAGAGATTTATTCGCAGAGCACCATGGGTAACAATATTCCCCCACTTCACCACTTTAATTAGAGAAGTGCAATTTTTATATATTTCATTATGCCAAGGTTTACTTTGAAAATGTTCACATGATGCTTGGAAAATCTAAAGCATTCTATCTATCACTTGAATTTCATTTCTACTACATAAGAGTATCATTCTATGACTTCAATTTACTCTCTACTATATAAATATATCATTTTACTATATAAATTTGTCATAATTTACTTTACCCATTCTCATTTGTCTCAGAATTTGCTTAATCAAAGAATACTATCATGGATTCCCTTGTGAATTTTCTTAAATGTCCTTAGGATAAAGTCTCAGAAAGGGAAGGCAGGCAGGCAATGGAGTCATCGTGTGACTCTAAGGGTTAGTCATGATAAAAGGGAATTCACTGCTGGCCAGGGTGCAATTGATAGTGATCCCTTGAGGAGAATTGTAACCATGGAAAGAGCTTTGCTGAGGCTGGAGAGATGGCTCAGTGGTTAAAAGCACTGACAGCTCTTGTAGAGGACCTGGTTCAATTCCCAGCACCTACATGGTAGCTAACAACCATCTATAACTCTAGTTCCAGGGGAATTTGATACTCTCTTCTGACCTCTGTGGGCATTGCATGACATGGGCACACTTACATACATGCAGGGAATATACAGTAATACACATAAAAATAATAAATAAAATGTTTTTTAAAAAGAAATAGTTTTACTACTCAGGACTGAGTCACCTGGGGAAACAGGGTGCCTTGACTCTATGTCCTCACACTGGAACTTTGGAAAATATCTTTTTTCTAAATTTGTAATTATTATGTGTATGTGTTGGGGGTGTGTGCCACGATGCATGTATGGAGGCCAGAGGACAGCTTTGTCAAGTCAGTTCTCTCCTCCTGCTTTTATGTGAGTTCTGGGGATCAACACAGGTTTGCAGGCTTGTGTGGCAAGTGTCTTTACCTGATGAGACACCTTGCCAACCCGAAAAATGTCTTCCTGCAAGAGTCAATGAATGGGCATTATCTCTCCAAAGTGCAACATTCTGAAAGGGGAACTTCAGGCTAGAAGAGGAACCCAGCTATCAGTACCAACCAGTGGGCCATTTGCTGTGATGGTTAATCTTAATTCTCAATGTGATTGGATTAAGAAGTG